ATCCTCTGATCTCAGCCTCCTGAGCAGCTGGGGTGAGAGGCGGGAGCCACCGCCATGTGAGTTTTTAATTACAGTTTGTCCTAGTTCATCCAGCTGCACGGAGCACTCTGCCTTCCTGGCTGTTGTTTGCTTCTTTTGGGAAATAGGCTCACATTCCTGGCTAGCTGGGACCCCAGGCATGTACTACTGCGCTCGGCTCCAATTCGCTGAAAATGGGTGCTTGTGAGGTCTACAGAGGAGGGGCGATGGAAAACCAGAGCTCTTCAGCAGGAATCCCGTCACAGCTAGCAGATGCACAGCGGCTTGTCACTTTAAGAGACAGTTTAGCCCTGTACCCAGGGCTCTTGCCTGTAATCCTAGCTACTCAGGAGGTTGAGATCTGAAGAGCCTGGTTCAAAGCCAACCTAGGCAGGAAAGCCTTTGAGACTCTTATCTCCAATTAACTAGGAAAATGTTGGAAGAAGGGCTGGGAAGATGGCTCAGTGGTAGAGTGCTTGCCTTACATGCCTGAGGCCCTGCGTTCAATTCCTCAGCACCACATAAGCAAAAAGAAAAAAGCCGGAAGTGGCACTGTGGCTCAAGTGGTAGAGCGCTAGCCTTGAGCTGAAGAGCTGAGGGACAGCGCCAGGCCCAGAGTTCAGGCCCCACCACCGGACCCAAAAAAAAAAAAAAAAAAGAAAAGAAAATGTTGGAAGTGGAGGCACGGTTCAAGTATTAGAGCGCCAGACCTGAGTAGGTAGAAAAAACTAAGCGAGAGTTGTGAAGCCTTGAGTTCAACTCCAGTACCTGCCCACTGCGCACGCGCACGCACACACACACACACACACACACACACACACACGTGCGTGCACACGCACACATGCACACACGCACGCACACACACGTGCACACACGTGCACACACATGCACACACACGCACGCACACACACATGCGCACACACGTGCACACACGCGCACATGTGCGTGCACACACGCACACGCACACATGCACACACGCACGCGCGCACACACGTGCACACACACACACACAGAGAACAATTTGGCGGTCTTTTTTGCTTGCTTGCCTTTTTTTTTTTTTTGGCAGCACTGGGGTTTGAAAGACAGACTCTCTCTCAACACATTTTGTTCTGATTATTTATGAAGTAGGGTCTTGGCTTTTGCCCAGTCTGCCCACCTATTAAATGGATCTTAAGAACTTTTTACCCAGGCTGGTCTCAAACTTCAAAACTCCTGATCTCCACCTCTGGAGTAGCTAGGATGACAGGCCTGAACCACACGCCCAGTCCAGTTTGGAAGTTTCTAGCAAAGCTAAACACTCTCACTGTGGGATCCTGCATTCCTGTTCCTTAGTATTTGCCAAAGTTGAAAACTTACATTCACACAGAACCCCATACTGAGCCACACACCAGTGGCTCACACCTATAATTATGCTAACAGCTACTCAGGAGGCCAAGATCTGAGGATCAAGGTTCAAAGCCAGCCCAGTCAGGAAAGTTGGTAAGACCTGTCTCCAATTAACCACCAAAAAGCCAGAAGCGGAGCTGTGGCTCAAGTGTCTGAGCGTTAGACTTGAGTGAAAAAGCTACATGAAGTTGCTCAGGCTCCAAATTCAAGTGCAAGTACTGGCACAAAGGAAGAGAAAAATAGATCTGAAAAACAACAACTACAACCCACTCAGGCAGGGCGCCAGTGGCTCACGCCTGTCATCCTAGCTACTCAGGAGGCTGAGATCTGAGGATTGTAGTTCAAAGCCAGCCTGGGCAGGAAAGACCATGAGACTCTTATCTCCAATAAACCACTCAGAAAACTGGAAGTAGTACTGTGGCTCAAGTGGTAGAGCTCGTGCCTTGAGCTGAAGAGCTGAGGGACAGCGCCCAGGCCCAGAGTTCAAGCCCCATGACCAACAGAAAAAGAAAAAAAAAAAAATTCAGGATAGTTATTTATCGCAGCTCCCTGCATAATGGCCCAAACCTGGAAGTGACCTCTGGTCTTCGGTGGGCAGGTTGCTAGCGGTGAGACACTGCTCCGTGGACCAGGACTGACTCCGTGCTGGAAGGAAGGGGGCCACGGGACCATAGAAAACCATGGACACGCACCCTGGGGGAGAGGCGCCACGTGAAGAGGCTGGCACCCGGCACCCCGACAGCGGGGGCCCCCGGGAACCGCCTGGGAGGACAGGAAGACCACATGGGTGGCGGAGCTCGCTGGCCCCCGCGTGAGTGACTGGCCTGCGGCCTTGTGGCTGGGTGTCCAGCCCTGCGGCTAGTGCTGTGGGGGGGGGGGGGGACCAACCTGTGCCCTGAGCTCCCAGGACTGGGCCAAGAATGGAAACGGGGCCAGGAGTGGCCTGACTCCACGCTCCACCCATCTGGAGAAGAGGCTGTCCTGCGTGGGAAGTGTCCTCCACGCAGCTGGTGCCCTCCCCTGTGCCCTCTAGAAACCAGAGGCTCTGCGTCCCCCACCCCCATCCAGCCCATCCTGGCCCACAAGGGTCTCTGGCTACCACAGCCCTAGCCCCTCCCCCCAGCCCCTATGGCTCACTATTTCAGGAACTCCCTAAACCCCCGGGCCTTTGCACTGACGGTTTCCTCCACCAAACTCAGTCTGGGGCGTGTTACCTGTGAGGAGCTGGGGTGGGAGCTGTCTGGTGAGGAGCAGCTGCCCTGTCTGTCCACACTGCCCCCTCCCCCGCAGCTCTGCAGCTGAGTTACTGTCTTTCTGTCACCCCTGCAAGGAGGACTCCGGGAACAGGGAAGTGTGTGTCTCTGTATGTACAGAAGCTGGTCTTGCACGTGCACACACACATGCGCACGCGGGCACACACACACACACACACACACCCCAGGCCTCCCTGGCCACAGTGCCTGCAGCCCGGCCCTCCTCTCTTCTGCTCCCTCTTCCCCACCCAGAAGCCCTGCAGCCCCCTCCCTTTGCCTCCACCCTCCATGGCCCCAACCTTTGGCCCAGCCTGTCAGACCCAGGAAGGGACGGAGACCAGGAGAGGCAGCGAGGCCGGGAAGGCGGGCCCGGAGTGTACTTTCACCACATAACGCTGGCCCCTACGCTAGCCCCACACCCATGAGCGGGCCTAGCCCCGCGGGGCCCTGGCCATGGGAACACCCCATGGCCTGTCCCAGGTGGACCCTGGAGTACCCAGCTCTAGACCACTCAGCAGCGCCTGGGCACCCCCCCGCCAGTACTGTGTGATCACTGCTCTGTCATCAGATCTGCTCCGCCTGGGCCCTGGGGTGGGACAGCACAAAGGTTCTAGCCAGGACGTCCAGAGAGGCAGGGTCACGGGGTCACAGGGCTCCAGCCCCATCCCCTTTCTCAGACAGGGGGAGATGGGGTGCTCTCACCCCCACACACACACACACCCAGCCTGCTCACATGGACAGCTCAGGTCTGAGTTTGGTGGCAGGGCTCTGGGTGCCACGATTGCATAGCTGTCCAGGGCAAGGGAGACACAGAATGGCCATGCTGGAAGGTGCCTCAGACATTTCTCAGCCTCGATGGGGAAACTGAGGCCATGCATGGGCCTGTCTGGGGCCCCTCCCCCCCTCCAGGGCTGTCAGCCCAGCACCCTCCGGGCCCTGCTCTATGCCCTGTGATGGTGTCAGCCTCCAGGCCCAGAGGCCAGGCCTCTGCCGGCCACCCCCACCCCCAGGCTGCTGCCCACAGCCCGGCCTGCGCTCTGGCTTGCTGGCTGCCCTCCCCTTTCTGCAGGTGGGAGCGTTTCTCAGAGCTGACCCCAGCTGGGCCTCTCAGGCCAGGCGGGGGAGGGGGGGGCGGGGAAGGGGGGAGGGTAAGTTAATTATACATCCACAGATCTCGAAAATCTCCGTCCGGCTCTGTACAGCTGATAATGTCCACAGCCCTCCTCCTCCTGCAGGCCCGGGGCCCCGGCACACACGCTGCCCACAGGCCTGGCCGTCCACGCCATGTCACCCATCCTGCCATCCCACGGCCAACCATCATTTCCACAGCTTTCTAGCTTTCCGCTATTAAAAATCCAACCTCTCCCCTTTTATGAAAAGGGGGCACTTGGGTGAGGTACACAGGCCGCTGGGGTACACAGGATTGGGGAGTAGAGTCTCAGATTCATCCTTCCTCTGAGCGGATCCAGGCCCCCCAACCCATCTGCCCACCGGTGGGCAGCCCCCTCCCCTCCTCCTTCACTTCTTCCCAAGGCCACACCCTGGCCGGCTCGGGGGTCACCCTGTCCCACAGTGGGGGCCTCTGCAGTCGTGGGGCTCCATCTTGATAGGTTAGCTTGGAAGTTCCCCGGTGCAAGGCAGGCAGGGGTAGAGGGGGGGCCCTCCGCCTGCAGGTGCCGAAACTGGTGGTGGTGGGAATGGAGTGGAGCCAGCGATGCAGGCCCAAACCCTCCCAAAGTGGAACCCCAGAGTGGCAGGCGGTGCCTGTCACCCCAGATGTGAGCCCTGGCGGCCCTCCCTCCCAGACGGCCTGCAGGCCACCCTCTCGGGTGGGGGAGGCGGGTACCAAGGTGGCCACCCCACTCCCTGCCCCCCCCCTTCCCTCCATCATCCCGGTTTGTGGGTGTGATGCACAGACAAGTCTGAAATCGCAACTTTTTTTTGTTTGGCCTCTTTATTTAGAACCCGGCGGACAAGGGGCCGGGGCAGTGGCGCAGGCGGCTCAGGAACCTTCGTTTCCACACATGGGTCTTCAAGTTCATAAGAGTAACAATAGCAAGAGAGCAAAAGCGCAGAGGTTGCAAGCGCGGTGCGCGCGGTGGCGGTGTGCGGCGCCTTCCCTAGAGTCTGCTACAAAGAGAAAAGTGTCAATAGCCTGATTCTTTCTTTGGGGGGGATTGGGGTGAGGAAAGTTGTGCCTTTGGCATAACCAATAACCAAAAGTTTGCGTGGCAGAGAGAGATTGAGAGAGAGAGAGATTGAGAGAGAGAGAGAGAGAGAGAGAGAGAGAGAGCCACGCCAGGACATAAATAGAAAATATAAGTTAGTATAACTTTTTTTTATGTTTTTGTACAAATATACATGGTTTTTGTCTTTTTTTTCCTTTTTTTTTTCTTTTTCCATTTTTTTTCCTTGCACTGAGTTTCAGCAGAGATTAAACACTTTATATAAATGACTCTTAAAGCTTTGCCCCTGGGGACCGCCCGAACGCGTGTGCAGCATAGATAGGTACTGGTACATTGCACAGTTTCCAATTGGGTGAGGAGTCGAGGGCTGCTCGCGAGCGGCCGCGATGCTACATTGAGGGTCCCAGCCGAGGTCCAAGCTCTTCCTCCGTCCGCTGCCCAGCAATCCAAGGGCTCCGAAGGCTCCGCGCGCTGCGGGGAGAGGCGGGGCGGGGCGGGGCGGGGGTGAGCCGCGGCCGGGCGGCCCGCGGGCCCCACCCCCGGCCCGGGGCGCGCGCTCACCTAGCTCATCTCAGGCGCTTGCGAGGGGTCTGCTCCGCCCCTCCCACGGCGGGCGCGGGGCCCGGCGCGGGCGCGGCGGGCGCGGGCGCGGCGGGCGCCTCGTTCGGCTTGTTCTCCGCCGATCGCTTGCGCTTGGCGAAGAAATCTGCTGGCGACAGATCGCCCAGGGCCAGTCAGCGCGGGACTGCGCGGGGCGGCGCGGGGCGCAGAGCCGGGCGCGGGGCGCGCGCCGTCCCCGCCCGCGCCGAGGTCCGCGGCGGGTCAGCTTTGTGTACGCCGCGGCGCAATGTGCTGTGTAAGCATTTCCCCTCGTCCCGCGGCCAAGCCCCCCGCGCCCGCGCCGCGCTTAACCCCCTCGGCGCCGCTCCCGGCCCGGCCCGGCCCTCCGCGGGGCGGGGGGGGGAGGGCGTCCGGCTCCGCCGCCCCGGCCCGCGCTCGGGACCCGCCGCACGGCCCCCCCGCCGCCCCGCGGGGAGGGCTGCGGGGGCGGCCGCGCCCTGCGCGCCGCGGGCCCTTTAATAGCCCGGGAGGAGGCGGGGACGGAGCGAGGCCCCCGTGGGCTCCGCCGAGCCCGGCCGGCTGGACAAAGCGGGGCCGGGCCCGGGGCGGGGCTGTGCGGTGCTTACCCGAGATGAGAGGCCCCGACAGCTTCTTCGCCGCCGCGCCGCCGTTGGCGCCGGCGGCCGCGGGACGCCCCGGGGTCCCCGCCTGCGCCGAGTCCGCCGGCGCCGCCTGGTTCGCGCCTGGGTCCGCGCCGCTCGCGGGCGCCGCGTCCGCGTCCGGGTCCGCGTCCGAGGCCACGTCCGGGGCTGGGGCCGGGGGCGCCGCCGGGGCCACGAACTGCGGCTCCGCCGAGGCCGCGGCCGGGCCCGCCGCGGGGGCCGCGGGGGCCGCCGGGGCGGCCGGGGCCGCGAGCTGAGGCTCCGCGGGGGCCGCGGCCGGGGGCGCCGCCGGGGGCGCCTCGGGGACGGCGGCCGGGGGCGCCGCGGGGGCCGGGGGCCGAGCCGCACGCGGCACCGGAGCGGGCGCCGCCGGCGGGGCCGAGCCTCGGCCCTCGTCCGGGGCCCTGGGCCGGGCCCGGGCCGCGGAGGGCTCCGGCTGCGGGGCGCTGGACGGCTCGTCGGGCTCCTCGTCCTCCGAGTCGTCGTCTTGGGGCTCAGCGGGCGGCGGCTCCAGGGGGCGCGAGATGACAGCCAGGGTCACGGGCGGGGCGCGCGGCCCCACCAGCAGGCGGCAGCGCCCCACCTGCACCGTCTCGCGGTAGAAGGCGGGCACCGACTCGCTGTCCACCTCCGTCCACTGCAGGCGGCCGGGGCCGCGCAGCGGCACGTCCTGCTGGAAGTTGAAGTCCCAGCGGTTCTGGTCCTCGGCGCTCAGCTCGGCCAGGCGCATCCGCAGCTCGCGGCCCAGCTCCTCGTGGTCCACCGGCCCGAAGAGGCTGCGGCAGGCGCTGGTGCGCGCCATCGCCGGGAAGTCGCCATTGGGCGCCAGACGCTCCATCGTCGGTGTTCTGCGGAGACACACGTCGGACCTGATCGCGCGGCCGCGGCGGGCCGGGAGGCGGGGGGAGGACAGCGGGAGGAGAGGGGGGCGGGCTGCGGGGAGGCTGGGCACCTCGGAGACCCCCACCCCCCTCCCCGGCCGGTCCGCGACGGCGGACGGACGCGGCGGGCGCGGCCGCTACCTGGGTGTCCGGTGGAGATGGGCACTCGAATCCGGATCGCCTGTCTCGTCCAGCCCAGTGGCAGCCGCGCCCCCTCGACGACGTCCGCCCGTCTGCGCGCTCGCTCCGGCCGGGTCGGCACCCCTCGAGCACAGTGCACTCGGCCTGTGGACCGCCCAGCCCGCCCGCGCCCCCTTTATACGCGCGGGCCCCACCCCCGAGCGCGCGGGCCCCGCCGCGATTAGCATAATGTAGTATTTTCAGTTTCGACAACACGGAGGCGATTGGCCGCGCCGCGCCGCCCCGCCCCGGGGCCCCGCCCCCACGGGCCGCGCATTGGCCGCGCGCACGCCCCCCGCCCCCCGGGGCGGGGCGGGGCCCGCGGTCCGCGCCGGCTGATTGGCGGCTGCGCGGGCGAGCGCGCCGGAGCGGGGGCGCGGGGCGGGGCGCGAGTTAAAGGGCGCTGCGGGCGGTAACGTGACACCGCGCCGCCCCGCCCCCTCGCCCCACTCCCCCCCCGCCCCCGCCCCGCCCCCCGCCCCCCGCCGGCTCCTTTGTCTGCAGGCGGGGGCTTCTAGCCCGCGGCGCGAGCGCCCCCCTCGGCCCGCGCCGTCCCTGCGTCCCGCCGGGTTCGCCCGGTCCCCGGCGCCCGCGCCCGCCGCCGGGCCTCCCGCGCCAGCGGACGGGGCTGGAGCCGCCACCGCCGGCTGGTCCCGGGCCCCGGGCGGGACGCACTGCGGGACTGGCCACCTCGAGGCCTGCTTGCGCCCGGGCTGGGGTCCGCGCCCTGGGAGCCCGAGAGTATCTGTGGACCCCGGGGGGACGCCCGCACACCGTCCCGGGGCCCACCTGCCCGACAGACGCAGCCCCCTGGGCCCCGCCCCGGGCTGTGCCCACGCGCGGACCGCGCCCCGCGCCCCCCCCCGGGCCTCGACCGGGCCCCCGGGGCTGGCGGCTGCGCTGCCACGGACCGAGGAGGACCCGCGAAGGGCCGCCACCCCCGCGCAGCACCCTGGGCGCGGCCCCGCAGACCCGCACGCGCCCCGGCCCCGGCCCCCGTGCCCTGGCCGCCCTGGCCAGCGGGGCCGGCGCGTCAGGGCAGCGCCGTGGGCCTCATGGCCCAGGGCGAGGCCAGGGGGCCTCGGGCTTTGCAGGGACCTGCAGAGCCCTGAGCTCCAGCCCCTGGCCCGGGGACCCCCCCTCCCCGTGGGTCAGGTGGGTGGGGACAGCCCGGGGCTGAATGAAGAGGTCAGAGAGGGGGAGGGGGGCGGCTGCCCTTGCGGCTCCCGCGGCCCCGCCGGGTGCGGATGTGATTCCCTCGGGACTGCGCTCCAGCGTTCGCACCCCGACCACTCCTGTCACCATCCCGGCTTCGCGCAGCTGCGCGAGTCCCTTGAGCAGGGCTGAGTCAGAAGGAAGCCCTGGGGCTTCGAGCTACCCTGGGGAGTTACCACGCCCCCCACCCCCAGGATCTCCCCAAGGGCCCAAGGGCCCAGGACCCAGACTTGGGAACTGCGGTGCCAAGGGCCACTCTGGGCGGTGGCCCCATTCTCCTGGGCCTGCCCAGGCAGCTGCTCCTCCTGCTCCCTGCTGTGTGGGGCACAGCTGGGAAGGGGGCACTGGGCCCCCCACTCCCCCTGACTGCCTAGCCTTCTGATGTGCTGTCCACTTGGTCACCACAAGTGTGAGGTCCTGCCTTGCCGGGACTTTGCGGGGAGAGTTACTCTAAGTCTCATGGCTATGCTGTGTCAGTGGCAGAGCCGGCTGTCTCCCTCCCCCACCCTCTCTCTCACACACACACACACACACACACACACCATCACCATCACCACCTCCACCTCCACCTCCACCTCCACTATCCGAGCTAAGGATCAGCTGGACCCAGACACCCAAGCCGGGGCCGGGCCTCCACCCCAAGGAGCCCGGGAACAAGCAAACAGCTGCCTAGGTACCACAGCTAAGTCCTATTTTTATCATTAAAAATACATCCAAAGGAAAAAGAAAAAGAACAATATTTGTGCTGGTGGTTGCTACAGACAGCAGGAGTCTGAGGGCCGAAGGTGCTCAGCAGGGACGGGCTCCCTGGGCTGCTCCCGGACCCCAGATCTGCTAGGAGGAGTGGCAGGGGGCACTCACAGGAGGGGCGCGCTGGGGCCCCCCTGCCTGGCCCTCTGAGCAGCGTGCTGTTTGTCTCTACTCCTGCACCATCCCCTGCAGCCGTGGTGTGCCTCCCCCCACCTTTTCTCTTTGCTCCAGGCACACAGAAAGACCGCGCTTTCCCGGCCCCTCCCCATCCAGGTGGGGCCCGGAGACCCCTTTTGGCCGCAGAACACTTTGGCAGAAGCGAGGTTTCCCCCCGGGCGCTCCCAGGCGCAGAGGTCCAGCGGTCCTCCTTCGCCCCCTGCTGGCCATGGGGTGACCCAGCAGCGGGCGCAAGGCTTCCCAGCACTCCACCGGGTCGGGGTGGCGGCTGACCCACGCTGTGGGTGATGGAGTTGCCGGGCCCGGTGTGGCTCCGTGTCAGGGCACTTGTCCAGCGTGCCCCCCAGGGCTCTGGCACTGCAAGAAAAATCAGTCCATGGTGTGCCCAGGCTGCTGTGTGTGGGGTTGGCACCCCACTGGGTGGGTGGATGGGTGGCACTGCTGCTCGGGGGCATGTGAGACAGGTGTATATGTTAGCTGCACTGGACCTGGAGGACGTAGGTCGGGAAAGACTAAAAGTGTGATCCCACGGGCAGACGCCAGTGGCTACGCCTTCAATCCTAGCCACGTGCGAGGCTGAAAGCTGAGGATCACTGTTAGAAGCCAGCCAGGGCAGGAAAGTCTGTGAGACTCATTGTCAGTGAACCACCAGAAAGCCAGAAGTGGAGGTGGGGCTCAAGTGGTAGAGTGCTGGCCTGAGGGGAAACGCCAAATGAGAGCACAAAGCCCTGGGTTCAAGCCCCAGTACCGGCAAACGCGTGCGCGTGCACACACACATTTCAAGTATGACCCTGTTCCCCAGCGGTCAGGACAGGGTTAACCTCCCCACTCCAGCGCCTCAGCTCCACAGCCAAGGTCTGCTCCGGACCTCTAAGGTAGGAAAGATCCAGACCCACACTCCTGGAGCTTCCTCCCCAGGAGAGACAGGACAGCAAAGACAGCTCAGTCCCTGGGGAGCCCCCCACCCCACCTGCCCTCACTGCCCCCCATGGCCGGCGTCCGTGTGTGCCCGTCCCATAGCTGGGACCACTGAGGCCCGTGCTGGGCGGCCCAGGAGACTCGTGCTGGGTCTCGAGCTGCCCCCTGGTGGTGGACGGCGCCATCACCGCCTAGCGCCTCTCCCTGTGGCATTGGGGATTTCTGGAGCAAGCACCTCGGCCAAGCGGCTGGAGTGGGGGCTGCGACGGGGACCGCCCCTCCCCGCTGACCCTTGGTCACACGTGCCTTGGGCGGCCTTTCCGACAAAAGTAAAGCCTGGATGAATTTCCCATGGAGGAAAGGTCCTCGTGCCCCTGTCCATCATGGAGTGGGGGAGAGGGGGAATGCAGGCTGCAGACCCGGTCAGGGGAGAGGCCGGGCCCACACCCCGCTGCTTCTGGAAGCCATGGGCGGAGGTGGCTTCCCATCCCCTCCCTCCCACGGGACCGCTCCCGGGGCTGGCTCTTATCCCAGAGGATGACAACTCATGGCCAGATCTTTGCGTAGGTTTATTCTGTGCGATGCACAGGCTTTTTCCAAGCCCAGGCTGGCCTTGCACTTCCCATCCTCCAGCCTCAGCCTCCCAAGTGCTGGAATGAAGGCCTACACCTCCCTCTCCGCTCTGTCCACCCTGGGTCTGCTCAGAGCACTGCCTACCCTGAGAAGGGACTCTTTACCTCCTTTGGTTCTTCCGATAGCCTGGAGAAGAAGCTTTTTTATATCCTTGTGTGTATATGTGTGTGCATGATGCATGTATGTGTGTATGTGTGTGCTGGTATCCTGGCTTAAACTCAGGGTCTGGGCACTTCACCTTAGCTTTTTTCCCTCAAGTCTGGCCTTCTACCACTTGAGCCACAATTCCTCTTCTTTTGCTTTTTTTTTTTTGGGGGGGGGTCTGGTCATGGGGCCTGAACTCTGGGCCTGGGCGCTATCCCTCAGCTCTTCAGCTCAAGGCTAGCGCTCTACCACTTGAGCCACAGCACCACTTCCGGCTTTTTTCATTTTGCTTATGTGGTGCTGAGGAATCGAACCCAGGGCCTCAGGCATGCAAGGCAAGCGCTCTACCACTGAGCCACCTTCCCAGCGCCTCTTCTTTTGCTTTTTTGCTGGTTCGTCAGCGATGAGTCTCACAGACATTCCTGCCCAGGCTGGCTTTGAACCGTGATTTGAGGATCGTGGCCCTGAGTAGCTGGGATTACAGGTGTGAGCTAACTGCATGTTAGAAGGGAGGCCGCAGGATCTGGGAGAAGCTGAGCCCACAATCTCCCCCAGCGGGGCCACGCTGACGCTCAGACCAGATCAGCTTTTCTCCTGTCCTGAGACCCATCCAGGGGCCTCGGGGCCTCGGTGGCCTCAGTCCTGGGCAAACCCCTGCTGACTCCACCCCAGCCCCAGCCCCAGGCCGGGCACACATGCTGCATGATGGACTCTGCCCAGCCAGCACCTGAGCGGCGTTCCTGGGGTGGAGGGGCTCAGGCACCTGCCCCCCTCCGACCACTCCTGCCCACAGGCTGGGTGGAGTTGCCAGACTGGCCACAGGGAGAGCTGTGGGGGTCTAACCCTGGCTCAGGAGCCCCTCTGCCCCCCTTCCCTGCCCTGCCCCCCCTCCCCTGCCCCCTTCCCACCCCGCCCAGTGCCCAGGCACTGCCAGCCACGTCCTCCTCTCCTGCAGGTGCCAGTGACGGCTGCATGGCTCAGATTACAGGGCCCGCCTCGGGCTGGGGTCGAGGCCAGGGGTCCATGCTCCTAGGAAGAGGGGGAGGAGGCGGGGAAGGGCGGGCACAGTCACAGACAGCGCGGCCCTCAGCCCGTGTAGGGGCCACCCTTGGTGGAGGGGGGCATGGAGGGGACCCCTTGGTGAGGATTGGGGCTCTCCTCCTTGGGGTCAAGGGCAGCACCTCTTTCCCGCCTGTCCAGGATGGCCAGACCCTGCACCAGGCACCCCCACCCCGCACCAGCCCCCCACCCCGCACC